AAACAGGCTCCACGCACAGCCGGAGCCCACCTGGGGGCTCGACTCAAGACCCCGAGATCATAACCTGAGCCAAAATCAAGAGTCAGATGCTTAACCAGCTGAGTCACCCAGGCACCCCTTCTCTATTTTAATATATGAGTATCACCCAAGATTCTGTATTTAGCTATCTGCTTTTTTTTTTAATTCCTTACTACTTCTTACAAGCTTTCATCATGCCCATCACATCAACTCTTCTTTACCTCCTCGTGTATTCCTCTCAAAACACCAGCCTACTAAATATCTCCAACAGGATATGTAATATATCCCAAATGTGTCTTGAACAGAACATATTTCCTTCAAATCAACGAGTGTTCTGATTTCACTGTTCTCTTTAGGACACTACATTCTCCAAGTTACTTGGTCATGAGACTTCAAAAAAAATTTTTTTTAATCTTTTTCCTTACTTCTTCAACCTTCTGCTAAGTCCTCCACTGGAGATGAACCAGTTCACTCCTATAAACTTGTTCAGTTCTGAGTGGCCCTGAACATCACCTGAGGGGTACTTTTATTCTTTTTTGTAGGGTACCTGTCAGAAAGCCTATGTATATGGGGGTACCTGGGTGGCTCAGTCAGTTAAGTGGCTGACTCTTGATTTTGGCTCAGGTCACGGTCTCAGAATCACGGGATTCAGCCCAGCATCGGACTCTGTGCTGGGCGTGGAGCCTACTTAAGATTCTCTCTCCCTCTGCCCCTTCTTTCTCTCTCTCCCCTCCTCCAAAAAAAAAAAAAAAAAAAAAAGCCTATGAATATGCTTTAAAGTATAGGTTATAGTTTCTAAAGAAAAGGTTGGCTCTGGGTCCAGAGAAGCTTGTAATTCACCATTTCCAGGAAACCCAAATATGCAGAGACTGGGTCACACCCTAATTGAATAAAAATTAACATGGCCAGGGCACACATATTCTTTATTTAAAGGTTGTGCATGTTTATCTTTGTATCACACATATAAAAAAAGCAGAAAAAAACTATTAGATTACTTTCACCACAGTAACTATATGTTAGGCTTATCAGTGACGATATACTAGCCTTATTCAACTGCATTTTTTAAAGATTTTAATTTCTGAATGAATGATCAATGGTGATGCTCCCTATTGGTCTGTTCATATTTTCCTCTCTGTCTCCCAGAGCAAGAGTGCTCTACACAGCATATATTTCATTCATTTTTGTATTCCCAGCAATTAACACAAGGCCTGATACAACATGTGTCTTGGATGAATTAACCTAATATTGCCTATTAGTCAATAAAGTTATGGTGACTTTTCTATTACTAAGAATTAAAAAAGATACTGTGCTTAACTGTGTTTTAAAATCCTGAAATGTAAGAGGACTTATTTTCAAATAAAAATTGAAAGAGTTTTAAGACTCCCTTTTTATAAATATAAATGTAAATATAAATATAAACTTTAATCTGGTCACTTTTTGTCTAGGTCTTAAAACTTCAAGTATTTGGGAGTTGCCTTTTTCTTCCTTCTAGTGTTGCCTATTTGTTCTTTCCTCAAAAATTCATCACATCTTGGCACCTGGGTGGCTCAGTCGTTAAGCGTCTGCCTTCGGCTCAGGTCATGATCCCAGGGTCCTGGGATCGAGCCCCGCATCGGGCTCCCTGCTCTGCGGGAAGCCTGCTTCTCCCTCTCCCACTCCCCCTGCTCGTGTTCTCCCTCTCTCTTTGTCTCCCTCTGTCAAATAAATAAATAAAATCTTTAAAAAAAAATTCATCACATCTGTTTCATTGCTCCAGTTCAAAATATAAATATGAATATTTGAAAATAATTCTTAATATCCAAATATACTACAATTCTAATTGTAAGATGAATTAGACTAAAGGAAAAACTAGCTGAGGCTTTTAATGTTTTCTTCACATTTATCTTTACAGAAAAAAAAAGGGGGTGGGGGGGAGATGTAGAAGACTGGCAGGAAGTAAATTCCACTTGCTGATTAAAGACATCATTCAGAATAAATCCATACAAAAATGTATTTTTTTAAATCTGATTTTGCCACAGAACCAGTTAAAAGCAAGGTCTGGGAACTTAAAATAGTGATGTCTAACATTCAAACATACGTTATCTATATTTTTATGATGTACATTTCTATGTATTGCCCTCTTCTACCCCCACCCTAAACTTAAGTCAAGTCTCGTGCAAACACAAAATTCCTTTTAAAAAACTGGAAATCAGCAATCACCATCTGCCAATCCTGATGCAGTGTAGCAGGGAATAGGGACAGTGAGCGTGAGATGGGAGGATAATCCAAAATAGACCCAACTCTGCAAATCAGAGCAGGAGAGGACCAGGAAGAACAATCACCCTCATTCCCTCAAGAAAGACACAGGCCCCCCATCCACTTCTGGAATGAGGCTTGAGCCAATTGTGCTGGTCTCTCAGTTGATAGGCACGGCACGTTAATAAGCACACGAATTACATGGATTTGCAAGTGTAAAAACTATATATATATAATATATATACATATATGTATAGATATACATACATATATAATATATATACACATATATATTATATATATATTACAGTTTTAGAACGTTTTTCTTGAGATAGATATAGATATAGATATAGATATAGATATAGATATAGATATACATAATACACACACACACACACACACACACACAGTTTTAGGTTACAGATATATATAAAACTGTAACCTTAAAAAGGAAACGTTGGTATAATATAAAGTTTGGTAGAGATATTTGGAGTTGTAACCATGCATTTGTACATAATGAAATCGACACAGGAATGTCTTTGTGGGGCATGGAGATGAGGAGGAACTGCTCCTCCTACAAGACTTGCTAAGGCCACTTGGGGGCAAAGTTATTCATTCAGACCATCTTGGTTGGGTTCCTTTATTAGAGGATTTCAACCCTGTTTTGTATGTTTGCATTGGTTGATTTCAACTGTCAGTCTATTTGTTTGAATCAGCAAAATCACTGTCCTGCAGGAAACTTGCCAGAAAATATGACCTCATATATTTCACAATCTCCAACTCTTATCAAAATCATTTTTTTGTTTTTTTCTATTTTTTACTTTTTTTAGGGTTTTTTTCCCCAACTCTTCTCAAAATCAAAGTTACAATAAGTAACATTCCCTGAAGATTAAATCCTAAAAGATACATAAATTTATTCATCTCTGTAATTTTCCTAGATTTTAATCCTAGACCAAACCAAAACATCATTCATTAAGCTGGAAAAATATTTGGGCAGTGTTTTTTGTTCTGTGTGTGTACATGTGGTCTGTTTTGTTTCGATAAGCCTCTCTACTCCTATAAAATTGCTTTTGCTAAATTGAGCTTTGTTGTACTGTCCTCTGCTTATTATTGGTTTTATGGGTGCGACACATGCAGCAAGTTGCCTCTTAGGTCACTCTGCCAGCCCTTCATAAGCCCCATGGCAGAAAATTTTTTCAGACCCTCAGTGAAAGGAAGAGCTTTGCCTCTCCTAATCAAATGGCTTTCTTATTTTATAGAACATGAGTCTCATGAGTACCTCCTGCACAAAGAAATTTAATTCTACTGAACTTACTAATTTTTTCATTTTCACTTAAACGTTTTAGAATCTCTTCTCACATGAATTTAAAATAAAACACTATAAAAAGCCCACTGTTAAAGTGGAATGCTTTTAGTTAAATATATATATTCACTGTTTCCAAAGACATGAACTCTACTATGGCCTCTGTCGTTTCCTGCCTTCTTAAAAGAATCAGCTCGCCTTGAAGGTCCCAGGGGAGCTAACAAGGAAGCATGGGTTACTTAGTAACAGGGTCTCCTAGATTTAATATGTCACTTCAGCTCCTGTCTATGGGCATAACCTTATCAGTTGGTTGCCTTTGGCCAGCTTGGGTCCTCGGTCTTCTTGATCAATGATGCCTGGCCTGCAACTTTCTAACATCATCACGTGGCTGCTCTTTATCTGGCACCCCGCTCTGCCCTGTGTCACCTTACACCAAACTGCACCATCAACTACACCAGCTGCCTCTACTCTGATCCATCTGGCAAACAGAAAGAAATGGGCTGAAAGGAAACAAGATTTACAAATGTATGAGAAAAAAAAAAAAAATCAATCCTGAAACTCAGTTGATTATATTTTAACTAGGTATGTTCTAGAAATCTAAACTGCATGTTTGTATTCATGCATTTTATTTAGTATGTAAAATATAAATGTCATTTAGGAATTTCAGATACACTAAATTCATTATGATATAATATTTTTAGTACATATATTCTCTGTCCTCTGGATATTAACCTTTAGAAAAATCAACCCTTATAGAGACAAACTGTTGTCCTCAAGCCACCCAGTACATATACACACTTACCATCAGTACATATGTGGAAGGAAAATAATTCTAATAGAAGCTCAAGAGACAGGAATAGAAAAATAAGTATGCTTTCAAAAACAATTCAACTGAACTAAATTACTTTAGAACTGTGTTATTTCAGATTATCAAAGCTTCTTCACGGAAGTGGTCATTCAAAAGAATTACTGCCCAACTCATTCTAAGGGCCTAGCTTTAGCCTGATACCAAAAGCCAGATAAAAGATACAAGGAAGAAAAAAAAAAAACAGAAAAACTACACACCAACATTGCTTATGAATACTGATATAAAAACCCTCAAGAAAATACCAGCAAACCAAGTTCAGTAACATATTAAAAGGATTATATACCATGATCAAGTAGGATTTATTTCTGGAATGCAAGGATGGCTCAACATACCAAAATCACTGTAATATACCACATCAACAGAATGAGGGGGGAAAAAAATATCATCACAACTGATGTAGAAAAAACAGATACCAAATTCAATTTTCATGATAAAAACACTCAGCGAACTAGGAAAAAAAAAACAATCTTCACATAATCAAGGATTGCTGTACTCATAAATACAGTATCATGTTCAGATTAATAACCTACAGCAAGTAAACTAGACTCATTAAAAATTCCCATGAAGAGTACTTACCTGCCAAAATTTTCTTGAATTGTTTAAACCATACGTCACAGTGGTCTTCACTTAAATTAATAAGATCAAGCGTAGAATCTTTTAATTTATTTTGGTCCTTTTTCAAACAAATGAAGAGTGTGATACCTAATAAAGTACCATTTCCCTGCTGCTTAGCAGAATAACGTCGTTTCAGTTTGACAGAGAATATGTCCTTGACTTCAATAAATTCTTCTTTACGTTGAACATCATACTTGGAGTCACCTGAAAAAAAATTAAGTTTTCCAATCAAAACCATTGTGTCCGTATCTTCTATGTATGAATAACAAAAGTGAAAACCCACAAGATCTTTATCACGATTAATTTTACTCTGTTTTGTGTCAATTCCTGTGTGAGTTGGGGAGGGAAGAAAAGAAAAATTGGGTCTATTTTCCCAAGAATGAAAAAAGAGAAAATGGCATTGAGTCCCTGTCATGTTGATGTCCCAGGACATTCAAAACCTGAAGATATTCAACAGAAGAATTTCAAGAACTTAAACAAAGCAACATTTCAATAATAGTAAATTAGCATTATGCAAGATGCTCCTTGGCCCTCATAGGGACAGGAAAAAATAACGGGAAGAAGACAATTCCCTAACAGAAGTGAGTTTATAACAATTATGTAAGGCAAAGTGTAAGGAAAAGGGTACATACCTTTCAGGTAAAGTAAAACGTGTAAAAAGGAAGCAGAGTAAGATTCTTGTATGAAACACTATGAATCCCTGCCAGTCTAGAAAGATCGATCCACTTGAATGTTACCACAATCAGATTATATTTTAGAGTGCGATGAAATTTTACTGGCTATGTTTAACCACAGGTCAGAAAACATGTTTTGTGGTAAAAGACCATTTCAATGGACTCTCAAAGTAGGCGTGTTTTATACTTTTATACAGTACTTCTAAAACTGTAATATTGATTATGACCTTGTCACTCACACAACACGGAATCACAGGGACTGGTTAACTTTCTGCCCGAAATAACTAAAATGGTGTGCAGGATACGTGAAACATGGAGGTAGCCCAGGTCAGTGGTCTCTGAGAGAGGGCAAACACAGGCACCCCAGGAGCGCCCCAGGCTACTGCCTAGAGAGGGTTTCCAGGCCACCATGTAAGTAGGGAGCCCTGGTGGAGTCTGGTTGTCTCTGTGGGTGAAGCAGGAAGAAGGAGTCCAGGAAAGCCACAATGACTGAGTTCACTAGGCCAATTACTGGAGAGGAGAAAACTGCAGGGAAGTGAATTCTGCAGAGGTCCCCCTTGAATCTTCAGCTGAGTATATATGGCATATGTGAGAGGCCAGGGAGAGAGAACTACCCTAAGGACTAAAGAAAACAATGCTCAGAGATCACACCAGCATTCCCACCAGCCGAAGTGGAAGAATATTGAAATTTGTGAGACATTGAGGGGAGTATTTGAGAGAGTATTGTCTCCTTAGTGAGCTAACTAAAGTTCACTCTGATTCTACCTAACAAAGCTTGAAAGCAAACCTCAAGAGGATTAAACTGTTTCTGAGTAACTTAACTACATCCTAGAATAAAGCTCAAGACTATTTATCGGGATATAAAAATATTCACCAACTTTACACAGAATTCACAATCTCTTTCCTTCAATCAAAAATCACTCAATCAAAAAAGCAGGGCACCTGGGTGGCTCAGTTGGTTAAGCATCTGCCTTTGGCACAGGTCATGTTCTTGGGGTCCTGGGATGGAGCCCTACATGGGGCCCTGCTTCTCCCTCTCCCTCAGCCCCTCCCTCCCCTGCCCCCCAGCTCGTGCTCTCTCTCAAATAAATAAATAAATAAATTCTTAAAAAAAAAAAATCATAATGCATGCATGGAGTGCCTGGGTGGCTCAGTCGGTTGAGCATCCAGCTATTTCAGCTCAGGTCATGACCTCCTGGGTCACGAGATGGAGCCCCATGTCAGGGTCTGCACTCAGCAGGGAGTCTGCTTGCCGATTCTCTCCCTCCGCCCCCCTCCACTTGCACTTGCGCCCTCTCTCAAATACAGCTTTAAAAAAAAAAATCATAATGCATGTAAGAAAGCAGGAAAAAAATGACCCCATAGTAAGAGAAGAAAAAGTCAATAGAAGCTGATGCAGAGAGAATCGCAGGGCAGAGAAGCCACACAAGGCCCTCCCTCAGCTCCCCTACTCCTTTCTCAGACACCCTCTTCTCCATTGGAGCAAGGACTTCAGGTGCCTAAGGAAGTTGCTTCCCTGCATTCTCAGAGTGGGCCTCTCCCAACCATTCTGCAAACTATGTCCAACTGTTCCTAAAGCACACATACCATGGAAAAAGAAACAAGCCCTTTTCTCAGTGTTCTGGTGGTGGGATAAGGTGAACCCCAAGTCAATTTGTTGGGCCTGTCATTTCCTTAGAAAGCTCAGGCTTCAAGTCTGTGTATGGTGCACTTCCACTGTCACCCAGGGACATATGGCCAGGGTCCCTGCAACACCTGGGAGGGACAAGGAGATCTTACATCCTTCTACTACCTTCAAGGATGAAAGGAAGCAGCCTTGTCAAAGGTGCTCCTTCCAGGCTAATCTTGTAATATTGATTATGACCTTGTCTCTCACACAAACTTAATTTTTTTATGTAGTATAACATACAATAAGAGCTCTAAGGAAGGATGAAAGGAAACCAAGAACCATTGAGGGGAAGAAAAAAATGGAAGGGATGAAATAAAGTCCTCTTTTCACTGGAAAACCTATATTATAATCTGAATTGTTTACCGTGTGTGTGCTTTACTTTGGCAGTAAACAATTCAGTGACTGTTCTAATTTAAAGCCTCTTGTAAATTGAAAATTTAAAGATACTACACCAACATCCAAGATAAAACTTAGTAGTAAAAACCAGAAGAATTTCTGGAAACAGTACAGGAATACTTATTATCACTCTTACTATTCCCAGTTATTCTGGTCAATACTATATGAAAGAAAAAGACAATGGGTGGTGGAAGGGGCTGTAGGGAGACTAGAATCGTAACTTTTTACAGATGATACCACAATATGTTTGCAAAATCCACAAGAATCTATTTAAAATCACTAGGTCTAATAAGAATACCCAGTAAGAAAGCTGGTTACAAATATATCAATACCCAGGAAGAAGGCAGAATGCAGATAAAGAGATCCCATGCCAGAGAGCATATTATACCTAGGAATAAATTCAGCAAAATGATCCTGGACTTGTGTGGCGGGGAAATGCTATTCCAAACATACTGAGAAACAAAGAACAGAATAAATGGAAACCTATTAAGTTTTGAGATTACATTTTTTCCATGCCAGTATTCTCAGTATTAAATAACTACCTATAATGCTATTCCAACCAAAATCTCAATGGTATTTTCTTTGATGTAAGGGGCAAGGAACCTAATCAAATGATTTGCAAATCTTCTTGTAATAAATGTATTATATTAATGAAGAAAATGTTTTAAAAATACAGTAATGAGGGGGGAGTATATGCGTGATCAGATATTAATATTTTGTAAAGCTGCAATAATTAAAACATCTAGGAATAGATAAAAGAATGGTTCAAAGAAACTTGTATACATTTAAAAAGTCACTAATGGGATAATGGTGGCATCTAAGCTCAATGGGAAATATTCAGTAAAAGGTGATTTAGAACAGGTTAATCTTTTGAAAAGGAAAAAAATAGAACCCTATTTCATAATATAGACCAGTATTTCTAGATTAGAAAGAACTTTATATAACCATAAATTAGTAAAGCCCTAAGAGTGACAGTAAAGCAGACATACAGAGACTGAGAGACTTCACATAAAAATTATTCAGTGCCTACCTGAATCTAATAAAACACCGTATGTTAATTATACTTCAATAAAGAAATCATTCCATCGCCTATAAAGACCTAAAGAACCATAAATTGATGTCACAAGCAGAAGCCAACTGGGCAGAAATAACTGCAACACATGACAGTTAAATAATCTATTTAATCAAGAAACAAAACACTTTAGTGGCAAAGTACATAAAAGACCCAAGCAGGCATTTCACAAAAGAAGAAATGCAAATTGACCAATAGACATATGAGAAAGTTCAATCTAATTAGTAATCAAAGAAATGCAAATTAAAACAACAAGATACCAGTTTTTGCCTTTTAGACTGGCACAAGATCAAAAATCATGCTTGATGGTAGGGGTAAAAGGAACCAATCCCAGCACTGGTGGGAATGCAAAAATGGTAACTGCTGGAGAACAAGTTGGGAATATGTATCAAAAGATTTCAAAATGTTAATTGCAGCAGTGTTTATAATAACAGAAATATTTAAAGCAATGTTCCTCTTCAATAGGAGAATGGTTGAATCATAGTTTTCTGCAGCTCATAAATGAACAAGTCAGAACTCTAGAGACATTCATGGCAAGAGATATGAAGAAGTAGAATAAAAGCCAGGTACAAAGTAATCGGAGGGATTTAATCTCACTTTCATTAAAAAGGAAAAACAAACTCAAGTAGGGAACACACAACAAACTTAATACTGGTTACCTATTAAAGAGAAATATGTGGGTATAAGAGATTAATTTTTTCCTATAAAACTCCGTAACTTCCCTCTCTGTAATCAGCATTACATTTATTATTTTTAAAAAAATGTAGAAAAGGAAAAATGCTTTAAAATACGCCTATTTTTGGTCCAGCAACTTACTTTCAGGAATGTACCCTAAGGGAAGAAATAATATGCACAATTTAGCTAAACGAATGCTTCCCCAAGCATTATTTGAGTGAAACTTAGGAACAAACTAAATGAGTAACACTATTGGTTCTATAAAATCTATTCATATAATAAAATGCTATTCAGCCATTAAAATGTAGAAATCGGACTAGAAAACTGTCTAAAATAGCACATTTCCATTACTGTTTTGTATATATTTATTGAATACATCATGTACGTGTAATATATTTTTCATATGCACATATATGTGAATATGCATATAAAAACTTGGAACAGATTGTGATTTAGTTTGCATATATAAATTTCTAATTTTTCTACAATGAGAATATTTCTGTAATCAATAAAGATGGTTTCCTTTGTTCATCCTTAAATAGTTCCTAATCATGTTACTTGTTTTTTTAAAATTCCATTCCCTTAAAAGGATAGCTAATATTTACTGAGCACATGCTCTATGCCAGACATTGCCCTAAGCCCTTTACATCTATTATCTTGTTTAATCCTCACAGCAACCCTATGAAGCGGATGCGGTTTCCTAAATTAAAAGAAATTC